ATCCCACCCACCCCCCACCTCAGCCTGAAAAAGCTGGAGGCGCTCATCCGCAGCCGCGAGCAGCTGGCCGAGGGGCTGCACCTGATCGACTTTGAGCAGCTAAAAATCGAGAACCAGTCGCTGAGCGAGAAGATAGAGGAGCGCAACGAGGAGCTGGTCAGGCTGCGGCGGAAGAACACAAACATGGTGCAGGTGGGCAGGGGCAGCGGGCCGGGGGCAGCAAGCTGTTTGACTGCACCTCAGGACGGGGTCAGCGACGCACACGGATGAGATAGCGGCGGTGACGCGGCCGGGTGGCTGGCAGCAAAGCAAGCAGCCATTGTGCAACTTGCCACCCTGCCTGGCTGCGCAGGCATCCCCCTACACTCACCCTAATGTAGACTCAGGTTTGACTCATGTCTCACCTCCAACTCTTGAGTTGACACCAGATATCCCCCCAAATTCAATACACTTCCTCCCACCCCAGGTTCTCACCCACATGAAGGAGAAGCTCGAGTTTGTCGAGAAGCAGAACGCCGCCTCAAAGTCCGAGCTGGCGGCGCTCGAGGCGCAGCTTGGGGACCGCCGAGACCGCCTGACTGCGCTGAAGACCAAGCGCGACAGCATGCGGGCCGCCGGGGCGCGGATGCGCGACGCGTGCGTGTACGTGACCAGCCCGCTGCTGCTGGCGGACCTGGCGGTGAGTGGCGGGTGACGCTTGCCATGCTCTGTTGTGTTTTTTGCTGTTATGCAGTTGTGCCTGCACATGCCCGCGGGTGCTCACACGTGTTGGTACTTGATTGATGGGCGCACACAAGCATGCCTCCTTGTTGCCCCCACCTGACTCGATGTGATTGTGCATGTAGATTCGTGCACACCCGAGTCAGAGTCACAATCCTACCCCGGAAACACTGCCATATTCAGGCCCAGAAGGAGCACAGGGACGACCTGATGGCAGAAATAGAGGAGCTCAAACGCCAGACAGCGGCGGCAGAGGCGGCGCGTGTGGCAGGGAGCGGCCAAGACACCGGCAGGCGCAGCCAGCAGACGACGGCGGTGGCGGGAGGGGGCGGCACGATGGGGCTGTCGTCGCGCAAAGCGTCGATGGGGCTCCTGGGATCAGGCAGGACAGCGTCGCTGGATCTGCATTTTGAGACCTAAGCGACGTCTTCAGAGCTCAGTTCAAGGTCTGCTCCGGCCCCTGACTTCAGCAAGAGCTGTCCGTTTTATTTGGCTGATTGCGGCTCATTGCACAAAGTGTTACAGTTGTCGTGGCAGTGCGCGGCCTGGATGGGGCGTCACAGTGTGCGGTCCCACCCCTGCCCAAGCCTTTTGGGCGGTCCAGGAAACATGGTGGGTTGATCAAGGGATTGCACTAACAAGGACAGCTGAAAAGCAGCAAGATGGCATGTCCTGGGATGGCCCTGTGGACAGCCAGCACGTGACTGGGTTGTGGATGTCGAGGCGCTCGGCTGTTGCCGCCCAGTGCGACTGCAAATGCAACAGTGTCATGGCCGATGGCTATTAGTGATGCCTGATGCGCTGCAGCGCGCATGAGCACGCTTGCTGCAGCGGTTCAAGAGCACAGGGTTCAGGTTGGGGGACAAGGGCACGCAAGGGCGGGCACGCGCTGCATCACAGGGCGCCTTGGGGGCAGAGCGCAGGGGTGCGTGGGTGCCTGGGTGTGGAGACCAAATGCCACCAGCATGCTCTTGCCTAGCAACATGGACACGCCTGGACGTGCACACGCGCAGCAGAAATAGCCGCGGCGTGGTCAAGCAAGACATGGCGGCGACACAAGGCGGAAGTGTTGGAGGTGACAGCGCTGGCCAGCACAGTGCCATGAAGCGGCTACCGCGTGCACCTGGGCGCCTTGCTGTGCGTTGGCGGTCGGCCCGAGTAGCAATTAGTACGACTTGCTTCCTTCCATGGGTTGAGAGTGGCAGCAGGAAAGTGTGCAAACTGCACGCCCCCCTTACGTATTGCCTTGGGGCCATGCATGTGGCTGGCTGGGAGGGGCCTCCAGGCTCGCATTGTGATTGGGGAAGGTAGGACGATTGCGTTGCGCCCGGGTCACCGAAGCAGTCGCAGCCCGGTACAGGTGCACGCAAGAGCACTGCAGCTGGTGATGTTTTGGCACCATAGCCGGCAGGACGCAGCCTCTGATGTGCTGGGAGGCTCTCAGGGTGCTCATTCAAAAGACGGCGTGGGTAAACACCTCAGACCCATCAACAGCTAGCAAGGCAGGTGGCCAAGCAGCTGCGCCCGGGCTACGTATGCATGACATGCGCCAGAGCGCAACAGAGAAATCATCGGGTAACTTGGGTGCGGGATGGTGTTGGTGAGTTGAGACCTTTCTTGTGAGGTTGATTACGGTCCCATAAGCAGCTAGCAGTCAGATTGAGAGCGCGCCGCCTGTTGCATTGGGCCCAAGATGGAAAGATGGGCCCAAGCAGGTGCGCAGTTCAAGCATGGCATGGCGTCAGCCGTTTATACTGCCGACCACAGCTCATTGCCCTGCCGGCCTTGGCAGCCATGCAGACGCTGCCGCCACTTTGGCCTGCTGTTGCCGTTCCATGTGTTGTAACGCACCATCAATAAGAGATGGAGGCAAAGGTGGCACGTAAGTTGGGTTTCAATTTTGCCCGCCTGACGAGGTGGGCAACGCCCGCCTCGCGCAGTTGGGAGGTACTGGGCTCCTGCTCCCCTATCTTAGGCAGCAGCGTGCACTTCTGGCAGGTCCTCTGCATGCAATCCGCGGCAGGGGAGGGGGTCCAGGGGCTGGGCGTCAGCAGGGAGCCACCTATTTGTTGAGTCCCACTGAGGGAGATAGCAGAAAACTGCAGGGGCCCACGGCTATAGGAGGTGACGAGGATAAGCCACTGTACTCCCAGACAGGTGGCAATGGCGCGCGCGTGCCCGGTGCAGTAGACTCTGCACAAGTAGCATGGAACCACTTGCATCTAGAAGCTCGAACATTCCGCCCAGCTTCGTTTTGCTCTTGTTTTCCTCTGCATCTATCTGACCTCCTCCTCCACCCCACATACTGCGAACTTGCATACAAGTCTCTTGTGCAGGCACGTACAGCCCAACCGCCCCACCTTGGGAGGCCGGCATGCGGTAGTGCAGGCCCTGGCCCGTGACAGCATACTGCGGCGCATAGCCCTTGGTCTTTGGCGCGGCCTCCTCATCTGGTCGCTCGTTGAGGGCCGAGGAGCCCAGCTTGTCCCACCTGTCAGATTTGCATTTTGAAATCAAGTTTGCGTTTGGCAGGGTAGAGGACAACGACAAGAGGAAGGATGTGTGGGCTGTATGCATGTGTGAGCGCTTCTGGCGATGGGGCGGCCTTGGCGGACAACAGGAAACGATTGAGCATGCATGTGGGGCAGTGTGGGTGCAATACGTGCGCACGTCGCTATTGCGAGCGCCGCGTGCAGCGGCGGCAGTGTCGTCTCAGACACTGGCCCACCGCCGGCGCAGCGTGGTTTCCCGCGCATACAAGGTGGACGCACAAAAGATGCGTTGATCCGCGCGCCCCGCCGCGCCCATGCCCGCCCACCAGCTGTCATTGGACTTGCGGCCTTTGTCCCCGCCGCGCCCACGCAGCGTGTCCAGGCGCGCCGCCAGCGCACCGGGCGGCGTGGCGGAGGGCAGCGAGGACCCCAGGCCAGAGCCAAGGCTTGGCGCTATGGAATGGGGCGCGGCCGGGTCTGGGGCACACCCTGACGGAGGGGGAGGCAGGGTGTCGGGGTTGGATGATGGCATGCGAGGAGTGCATGCATGGTCGCAGGAATGCATGCAACCGGCCATGGAGGTCTGCATGAGGCAGAGCCTGCGGGGCGTGGCCCGCCAAAGCATGAAGAGCCCTGCGTGCGACACGCATGCCCCTCATGCGGTCACGCGTGGGCCCATGAGGCTCCGATCCGTTACGCATGCAGGCCAGTTTGGCCTGCATGTGCACGTGCCCAAACAGCGAGCGTGAGCTCGGCGCCACTGCCCCCGGCCTAAAACCTACCTCCGGCGCGGAGGTCTGCTGTCAGGCTGCCCTGGCGCGATGCCAGCACGGCGCGCAGCGAGCCCGCGCGCTCGGGCGCGGGGCCGCCGGCGGCGGCTGGCGCGCCGCCGGTGAGGCTGGGGCGGCGGAGGCTCTTCTGGCGCTCCAGCCGCGCAAAGTAGCCCCCGCGCTGCTCGTCGTCATCGTCATAGTCTGCCATGCCTGGGGGAAGGTGAGACGGCGGAAGGGCAAGGTCGCAGTTTTGAAAGTGAATCGTGGTGCAGGGGAGGCGAAGGAGGGTTGGCCAGGCACCTTCAGAGAGAGATTGGGGGTCTGCCTCCTGCAAATGCCAGCGCTGAGTGTGGTGACAGGTACGCGGAACATAGCATGCACGGTGTGCAGGCGGCGCTGCGGGCATGGACCTGCTGCTGTGGGAGTGGTCTGGCCCGCAGGACCCGCAACGGGAGTGGTCTGCCAGGGGTGCGCAAGGGCATGCTGCGAAAGCGCGCACCTTTTGGGGGCACCCCTGGTGCGCTCTCAGACCAACCTGTGTGGTGAGGAGGCAAGAGTGCAGCAAGGCAAGCCACATTTGGGAGGCGGCGTCAAGGGCACTTGATTCTGGCGGTGTCGCTGACCAGGACGGCGCAGCCGGGGGACGTGCGCGGGTTGGCTCTGGTGTACCACAGGCCTGTGCACGTTTGGCAGCCCCGCATACCAGGCAACAGGCTCCCCATCCTGTGACGCTGGACCAGCGGGATGGGGCGGAGCCGGTGGGTTCGGTGCCGACGTCCTTCGAAAGGGGCTGATCCAAAGTGGAGCGGAGGGAGGTGTTGTAAGTGTATATGGATAATTGAATGTTTTAATTAGCTACATATGAAGGTGACAGCTCATTCGAGTGCGGAGGCGGGCAGTCAGCATGGGTGCCAGATCGTCGGGAGCAGCTCTTAATTAATGCTGCGCTGGCATAATACTAAATGCTAACAGTATGATCTGGATTACTACCTGCTCCTGATACTGCAAGGTGGTTTGAGTTATGCCAATCAGCTCAAATGCCTGTCAGCTCACGTGCACTGATGAGGGGGGTGTCTTCATTCCCATACTGGTTTGAATTGTGCTGGTTCATCCCTGTGGACCCCACGCCCAGGGAGGCCTCTGTGTAGCGTGACAAGCTCGCGCCCCAAGTGCATACACCTGATCACACGTCAGGCGCTTGCGCAGCTGCCGACTGTCAATCCTACCACTCCCCCATCACCGCTCTCAGCGCACAGAGCAGTTACTCATTTGTACTGGTCCTCGTGTCAGGAACTTGGCAAAGAAAGGTGGTTGGTCAATACGTCAACTAAATCATCTGCTATCCATGTAAATTGAGGGCAGCCCAGACGTGCTGTGCAGATAATAACGTCGGGGTGTCGAAACAAAGGCCAGCCTAGGTGGGACCGCACAGCGCGCTGCAAAAAGAAAAGGACTCAGGCCTGGCTTTCCATGCGTGGCTGCACGCGTGCAGCCGCCCCCGCAAGCACGCAGACCTCAGATCCAACCACCATACGCGCCCGCCCGCGCCAAACCAGACCAAAGCACCCCCCCCCCCCC